TTCTGACAGCTGCCTGTGTCACATTCTCTGCATTCAAGAGGACAGCCAAAAAGTCCATTTCCTATCACCCCACACGCGAAACACCCCACACTGCAACAGGATATACTTTATTCTAATGTGGGTGGAAGCGGGTTGCCGAACCCATCATCCATCGTCACTGGAGTGGTGTGGGAAAGACATTTCATATATCCGACAGATATCAGCAGGTTATTATTGGGCTGTTATAACCATGCCCCTGCATCCTCCACCTATACGCCAGATTAGTTAAATGTTTGCTCTGTTTGTTCATCCGCACTTCACTTTTTTCCTCGCCGTTGCTCGCTCTAATCCACAACTTGTTCGCATAAATTCATTTTAATAATCAAACACCAGGGAGACCACTTGATTATCACGCTGGCCTTATCAGATCTGAATTGCAGCATTTTTTTTATTGTATCCCTATTAAATTTTTAATTGATTGATGATAAACATACCCGTCGTTCTCTAAAAATGCGCTCTCTTTGGCTCTGACCGAAACACAAGGGTTGCAAAAACTTATATGGATACACCGTGCAGTATTGTAAGGATTTCAGTGTGTCTGTGCTGCTGTGTGTGTGGTGCTGTGCTGTGTGTGTGTTCCCCCGCGCGCGCGCTCGATCTCGTGTGTGCTAACTGCTTGAGCGAGCAACAAGGGGGAGTGGCTCGTATTAGCTGAGAAATAGAACACCGACCGGAAAAGGACGAAGAGAGAGAAAAAAAAGGCAAACTAATTCCGACACCGCGAGAACACAAAACGACAGAGATAAGTAAATTGGTGAGGAATTGAAAATACACCGAGCAGAAAAAAAACAAAACAACAGGAAAAGCTAACAGAACAGGAAAAAGAGCAGAAGCAGAGAAAATAGGCGTCTCCCTGCGCGAAAAAGCACTCATGAAATGTCCCACGTCCATCTTATTATTATTTATTGGTAATATTTTTTGTCATCGTATTTGTCCTTTATTGGTATCTGTTCAAGCCCCTGAAAAAGCCCATATTGGTTTGATCACAAATCCAAATCTGATTGATAAATGGTAACAATTCCACTGCCGGTCTGGAAACCAGACACTCCTAAATTTGGTACAATTTCTATCTGTTCTGCTACGGGAAAACAACATTAACTAATCAGGGAAACAGGGACACAGTCCATAACGATTTCATCCCACTGCCTCAAGCACAATTGCGGTCTTGTTTTCGATTGCTTGCAAAGAGGTTTGCAAAAGGAAACACTGTTGCAGGCGGAGTGATCAGTAATCTCAGCAGGACGCACTACGAGTTTTTCCTCCTCAGTATCCAGTTCAGCATGGTAAGGTCCTGGTGCAGCAAACAGACCATGACAAAGTCAGGGAACTTTATATAACGGTATATATCATTGTATATATATTTTATATGCATGTGACTTTGTCATATGTATGTGTGCTACTAGAGCGGCAACATATTAATTTTATTATTCATAATTAAAAATAATTATATTATTCATTCAATAATGTATTCATAAATCTGTTGAATCATTTTTCTCTGTTAATTGATAAGTTTGTTATGTACCTCATTTCAGAAAAATGGTGAAAAATGTTGATCACTGACCTCAAAGTGTACCTTGTTTTGTGCACACACACACCCCCTAAAACCCTAACCCAACCCAAAGAATATTCAAGTTTTACTGTCATAAAGGACCTAACGAAAGCAGAATAATATTCACATTGGAGAACTGAAATCAGAGAATTGGACTTTTTCTTAAAAAATGACTCAAACAATTAAATTAATCAAAAAAATTGGTTTGCCAACTAACCCATTAAAATCGAGCTCCTACAGAAACATTAAAACACTGGAACCTGATTATTGAAGAGAAAAACACGAACTTGTACTGTAATGCACATCAAATCCTGGTGGACCACACACACACGCACACACAACACACGCACACACACACACGCACACACCGCACACCAACACCACACACACACACGCACACATTTTGTCTGAGCCACAAGAGCAGAGGAAGAGGAAGTGGGTTTATTTCAGCCCAGACGCCTCACCACAAACATCCTTCCTGCCAGCTTAGGTGGGTTTTTAAGACCCATGAGTCAAACACAGGGTAGAGTTAAGGTCAAGACCAACACCGGTCATTCACATATGATATATGGCTGAAAATGTGAAATGCTGCCTCATAGTTTCTTAAATTAGTCTATAATAAGCCTTCAAACTATCTTGAATCTATTGCTGAAACGACCATATTTCCAACACTCCCT